TATCTTCATCTTCCTTTACGATGACCTTGGAAAAGTAGGTCTTCTAGGAAATGCTTATACTTTCATATAATAATCCTTTTATTTTCTTTCATATTAACATCATATATACTTCAGGCTTAATGATAATTTATCTTTACAGATAAAATGAAATAACAAACATCTTCATAGGTTTCCAATTGCCTACATATATACCTCATTACCACAGTCCTGATTAGGTAAAATTACATTAAAATTATAATTGATGATTATATCATTGTTAAGATAAAATTAGATTGCTTCAAATAACTCTAGGTCATTTAGTTAATGATATCTTGCAAGTAACATGATTACTTTTCAAATGTATTGATTCCACTTATAATATGAGAGTTTCATTTAACACACTAATAAAATCGTTATACCCATATCCTCAACTTTTGAAGTTGTAGAACATGGTCAAAAGACCAACTTTGAGGCTAATTTTTGGTGGATAATATGGGAACCAAATGATCTATAAGGGGGTCGAATAAAAGGTTACCCTAAAACCATATTGAAAAAAAAAATTCTTTTAGAAAATCATAGTTTTACAAAATAATACACAGATAACAAACAAAAGAAAAATAAAGTGAAACTTTTTCAAAAGATATATTTCAATGTCTATCACAATTACAAGAGATGATAAAAATTAATCACAATCGAGATAGTTGAAATATCTTTAACAAGAAATCCAAAAATGAGCATAAATCATTTTTCACACATGACTCAAATTGATTTTTATCAAGTGAATGTTCTATCTAAGATTAAGATTTTTGCAATTAGAATCAAATGATAGAATATTAAAGAAACTAGATATATCACAAACCTAAGATTATTCAAGAAATCACTATAAACAATGTAAAAATCTAATAACATGGTATTCTAACAATGATAAACAACTTAAGAGATGCAAAACTATGTAAAAATGTATAAAAAAGCGGGAAAAGAAAAATGTACGCCAGATTTATAGTGAATCAGCTCATTCATCCTCGCTAAATCTTAATCCACTCTTTAATGGTATCACTTTTGAAAATTTGTAGAGTATTTAACTATTTTATAAAGTTAATACAAGAATATTTTTGGTACAACGGATAATCAACTACGTTGAAAATTACAAGCCAATTTATTTAGCCAACACAAGTCTAAATTGATTTTCTCTTCTCTTGTAGTAGAACACTAAAAAGATAAATATTTCTAGATATTTACTTGATCTTGATCCAAAATTAGTGTTAGACAAAAAAAATCCTACTCCAAACTTTTGTTTCGCGTTGACCTTTATTCAGTCATATAGATTCCTTGTCTGAGCGTTTGTTCTACCCAAGAATGATTAGACAAATCCTAACTTTTATCTGTAGTAATATTTACTTAATTTAATTGAAGTCTTCTGTGAAATATAGGGAAAATCTTATATTTGATGGGTTTCAATCTCCATATAGCATAGACACAAAATGATTCTTTATTTTGATACACACAACATAAATTCACAAAAATAAAATTAACTTCTCTAATGTACCTTTGATCTACCACTCAAAGTCAATCCATAGAGTTGAGCAACATAGCAATGGTTTCTTAGTTCTGTGTTGAATATGATGAAGTTTATCTAAAGAATCTCACAAAACATGGCTTAGATCTCACTAGATCAATATTCTAGAATTTTTTTTCACAAGGTTGAGACAAGGAGGTTATGTGTTTGTGAAAGAAAAATACTCATGGATTTTTTTTAAGAATTATGAAATTATGGATTATTGATCTTACTTCAAAGGGTCTCTCTAATGATCATGTCAAGTTTATTGTTATTGTTTGAGAAATTTAAAAAAAAAAGATTTATATAGGTGTTATAGGTTACACACAAAAATGTATGGAAAAGAACAAATGATTCAAGTCAAATCATGCAATTTTAATTTGAATCAATAAAAATAAACACTTGAATCAAGGTAATAAAATGTGGAGTTTTCCATTTTTATTTGAAACATGATTTTCACTCATGATTCAAGTCATAAAAAGTATGATTCAAATCATGGCTATTTTTCAAAATAGTGAGTAGTCATGATTTTAATCAAAAGGAATTGTGATTCGAATCAAGAAGTTTTGTAATTCAAGTCACACTTATCCTTGACTCGAGTCAACTTGATAAGCACAAAATTAAAATTTCAAATTTGATGTTTTATTCGAATCATCCATATGCTTAGTTCGAATTAAATAACCATTTTTAAGTTTTCTAACTCGTGGTTCAATACACATACAAGATATTAACTTTTATCAACTTGTTCAAGATTATAAAACACATTGTTATGAATTCAAGTCTCATTTATTAAATGATATGGGACTCAAGGTAAATTTCTAATCAAATAAACAAATTACAAAAAACGAAATAATAACAAATAAAATTATAAATATCAAAAAATAAACAAAACATTAAAATAAAGATGGTATCAATTCAACAACTTCAATTATGACCTTCACAATCTAATATTGGCTCAAATTTATTAAATTATGTCAAGGCTATTCTTTTTGAAATTTTGTTCCTCTGGGGAAATATATCGGACCTAATGTTTGGGACATTGTATCCCATAAAAACTAGATTGCAAGACATAGAGTAAATAACAATTAAAGCAATAAATAACATCGAGGATTGGAAACCCAGTTCAGTGCAACATCACCTACTTCTAAGGGGAATTCAACCCAAGAAATTAAATTCACTCTCAATATAAATAGTACAAAGTGTCTTAGGTGAAAAAGCCTCTTGTTCAATGCCCCTCTTCTTAAATCTACTCCGTGTCTTTTTATTTAGGACTCCTTAGAGAATTATTTCACTCTCAATAGTCAGAAGGCCAAATGGGATTACTATGAACTCTCCCAGTTCAAGGCCACTTTCCTAATACTACATGTGAAGCTTCATTCTAGACTCCCCGTAAATATAAAAACCCTCTCACTTTCACTCAAGCACTCTCTCAAGTGTATATACAATAGCAATATTATTAATAAGATGAAACAATATAAAACTCCTATAAATACTTTTTTCCCAAGCTTGTAGAATTAGAATCTAGAAACGAAGTATTATAACTCAAATAGAAAACCAATCTTTAAGCCTTTAGATATGAAACATTGGCACTTAGAGAGGTGCACAAATAACAACACAAAAAAAGACTCAAAATAGAAACCATAACATAATGATATTCAATTATTTCATCCACCCTCAAGTGAGGTTTGAGTCTCCTTAAATAGAAATTCAATTTTGGGTTTTTCTTCTTTAGATATCAGTTGTGATCTCCTCCAGATTTGTAGAAGTTTTAGTTGGATTCTATTTTTGATTTTTTTCCACCAAAGTATTCAACAAAATATATGATTTTTTTAAAATTCAAATTCAAATTTAAATCTTCAAATAATTAGATTAGATCTCATTCAATTTTTCAAACAAATCTAATTAATGTATTTCTAAATGATAGAAACAAATCTGATTGAAACACAATCAGAATTTCTACTCTAAACTACAATATCATGGGCATGTTAACAAGGACTAGATGTTGTACACATACTGGAACATTGTCTCCCACTTATGTCCCTTCTTCACCAAAACATATTTTATACTCAATGTTGTTTTTCATGATCGGCCAATCCAAAAGTAACAACAATCTCCCCCTTTGACAAATTTTGGCAAAACAACTCTTTCAAAACTTACAAAATGTGCAAAGGTTAAATCTTCAAAAATATAAAAAATGAGCATCATAAGCATACCACACTCAGTACAAACCGAGCAAACATCAGTAGTATTAGAAGTTCAAAATAGAGTAATACATCAGCAATAAAAGTTAGTAGCAAGAGTTAGAAATCAAGTGGTTATTACACCTCAGACTGTTAGTCACACAATGATGCTCCCATACTCAATCACACATAATCAGTCAGTAATGCATGGATCCTGGTTATTAGTTATAGTCACGCATCAAAAGATACTACATACACACATAAAGATCAACAGACACAGTTGAGGCTGAGATGTCAGTACAGATGCTTAAGCATGTATGCATACAAAAAACACAGAATAGTTGGTACCAATCAGATCATCCAATTAGTGTTAGTATTAAGCACAATAGAGTCAGTAGCATACACCACAAAGTCAGTAGTCAGTAGTCACACTACTCCACTACAAACCATTACTCCCTTCTTTTTCCATAATTTGGAAAAGCTATTAACACAGCCAGCACAATCAATGAACATATCAGTTACGAGTAGACAAACACCTAATCAGGAGTAGAAAATCAGAGCAATCATGTTGAACCATTATGCAGAACATTAGAAATGAAATTCACATGTGGAATGACTGAGATCATGTTAAAAATGAAGAACCAATTTAATCCAATAAGATATTCTTCACGAAATATAAATCTTCCTTCAAAGCATATACAATTACATCTTGTCTTCAATGTAGACCCAACCTCCGAATCTTGGACTTGAACAAACATGAACCAAATCTGAAGTGCATGAGAATCCAAAAAGTATAGCACGCTTGCCAAGATATCATACAACTTGTTCCAGACATCTTGCTTTCCATTTTTCCTATAAAAATAAGCCTATCAAGGAACAACAATACCCCCCCTCCCTTTGAATTTTTAAGGAACAACAATATCCTTCTTTGGCTATTTAAGTAACGCACATATTAAACACTTCATCAAGATTGCACCACAACTAGTGCGCAAGAGACAAACATTATCAAAGAAGTGTGCCCTTTTCTTTTTATCCCTATTTTCCTCAAAAGAGATAAAGGCCACATGATGCTACACACATTCTTCTATATTAGATTATCATAATTCGGAAAACTCACAACGTGTTAGATTCATCACAACCATAAGCATGGGATTACAGATGACACTAGCACACAACTTCTTACGAACAACTATTGAAATCCACATCCTTTCTTGAAAATAATAATATCATCATCTTACCCACAAACTTGCAGTAGCAGCAATAACAAGTTGAGGTAAAAAAATATCCTACATTTCTTCATCAAAAACCAGATCAATTTCATCATCAGGTGCACAGATATTGGACACGATTTCTAAGAATTCTTTCCTAATATTCAGGTTGTAATTCAAATTCAGCAACCCATGAGAAATACCATCATTCATAATCACAAATTCCACTATCAACATAGGATAATCAGATCCATCATTCAACAATGTCTTCAATAATTGAGCATCACTAAGAAGCTCCATATTTTCATAATATTTTAGTGCTTCAACATAATGCTATTTTTCAAGAGTCATTCTCATATGATGAGCAACATTCCTTTTCTTACTAGATTATTTCTTACTAACTACAACATATTTATTCTTCTTCTTGGGTGTCTTATTTTCCTTGATAAGAATAGGGATCTTCTTGGAATGAGTCATTTTAGCCTTCAGCACAATCTTTCTATTTTCCACATTTTTCTTTCAATTCTTGTCAAACCTTTTACTAATACCAACATCTTTAGGTACACCATTATTGACAGAAGCAGACCCATCACGCACTTCAATATTCTTAAGGAAAAAACCTTCTTCAGCACTAACATGTAATACTGATTGTCTAGAACATCCTGGTTGACATCTTCATTCCCATTTTTAAATACATTAATATTATAATCAATCTCTTTAGTAATCTTGTCAATAAAAGGAACCTTGTCTGACCCTGCAGACTTGCTTCTTCCTAAATAGTCATTAATGATGGAAGAAAACTTCACACATTTTCCTCTATCATATACCATTCTATACTTGTTCTTCAACATTACAATCAGAAGACATGTTCAGAATAAACTCTTTGACTAGTCTTTTATAGCAAGGACCAATATTAGTGAATCCAGCAACTTTCATGATTTCTTTGCGATCAAGAGCTTATTTACCTAGCTCTCTCTCAACTACAATCCTTCTTTGAAAAACACATTTCCACTTATAAACAATTATTTCAAAATGGAATGTCACATTATCCATGTGGGAAACAGGAACATTCAGATGAATTCTTTTTCCACCTACTTTCTTCTTATGGTGGATAAAATGTCCTGGACATATTCTTTAGCATTTGTCTCAGAGTCACTTGATTGGTCATGCTTTCTCATTAGATACTTCTTCTTTTCTACTCTATAAGCAATAGATCTAGATATACTCTTAATTACAGTAAAAACAGGTTCTTTATCAATTTAAGTCTATTCATCCACCTCCACCACTTCTTTATCCTTTTCTTGAGTAGCCATGTCTTGAGACTTAGTTATATTCTCTATGATTCTCTTCATTATGTTTCAAAAAGAAATGTTACCATCCTCATCAGCTTCCACATACTCATCCTTCTTAATGATATCATCCTTGTTAGTGACATAAATACCAACATCCTAATTGAATTCCACATTCAAGTTGAGGAAGGAACTTTTCACATCCATCTGATAAAGTATGAACATAAGGCTACAAGACAAACCTATAAGTATTCTGATGGCTTCAAGATGAGCAATAGGAGCAGAATTTGATAATACATTTGCCTCTTAGATATATGTTTTGCATGATGCGAAAACAATGATTGATTTAGCTTTTCTGTATATTTAATGGTCTCTCTGATTAATTGTGTTCACCCTTGAATTAGGGGTCTTAGAATGCATCTAGAACATGTTTGAACAAATTATAAATATGTGTCGTGCATTAAAAATCAATTTTTGAATAAAAATAAGTTAGATGTGTCGACACATCCATACTATGCATCGACAAATATGGATCAATAATAAAGCATGTAGGCTCTATTAATATGTGTCGACACAATAACCTCATATAGGTCAACTTTTATCATTAAAAATATATTTTTGCATAAAAATAAGTTATATGTGTCGACACATCCATTTTATGAGTCAACACATGTACTAATATTTTAAATCCTGAAAGCTTATGTAATTTCGTGTCGATATAATGAACTCACATATGTCGGCACATGTCATTACATGTGTCAAAACATAACTTACAAGTGTCGACACATGTGTCAGAATTTCGCAAAAATCGTTTTTCTTTTAAAACTTTTAGGTTTCCCTTTTGCCTCCAACTTTCACACCTATATATACTTCATACATGCATCATTTTTAACTCGATGAAACTATAAACATATACTAAGATTTCTCATTATCTTCAACCTTGAATCCATGCACACACACAAATAATGTACACATGATCATTCATTAGTTGGGTGTCATTTAGTCTAGGTTGATAATGTTCAATTTAGGTTGGTTGTAACCAAAGGTTGGGTTGATATTCTTAGGGGGTTTCATTGAAAAATGGTAAGAATTTTTACCTCAAGATCAAAGTGTGGATTTAGGGGTTTATACAAGGTTTTGCAAATATTGGATTCGACCGAGTGAAAGCCTTTGAATAACTGGAGGTTCTTGCAAAGGAGTAGCATGAGACGATGAATCGTTTGGAAATATTGGATACAAAAATTTTTCAATTTGGATTCGGCCAAGTAAAGAGCTTTGAAGAATGAAGATTTCTTGCAAAGGAGTAGCACGAGACGGTGGATCAAATTGGTATTGTTGGGTGACTTGATCAAACTCAGATAAAGGGAAGAGAAATTTCTAGGATCAATATCAAACATAGGGTTTGTAGGGTTGGATTGCTATATTTCTCTTGTAAACAACTTTTTTCACAGTAAGAAATTTATCTCAGTTCTAAACGAAATTGGGGGGAGACGTAACCATAGCAAGGACGATTGGTGAACTTACTAAATAAATCATCGTGTCATTCTCTCTCTCTCTCTCTCTCTCTATCTCTCTCTCTCTCTCTATATATATATATATATAATTAAATATTTGTTAAACTCTTTGAATGTGCAATTAATTCGTATAGAAAATTCCTTTGATTGTTGAATAGCTTTGTTAACTACCTTACAATCTATTGGATTGTAAGAGGTATTTAACACAAACAAAGATCAAAGGAAAATCTGAAAAATTAAGTACACACAAAGTGTTCGATAAATTGTTTCACTTAGTTTTACCAATTACACACTAAGTGTTCGATAAGTTATTTCACTTAGATTTATCGTTTATTCCATAGGATATTGGTTGTCCTTCTAATTGTAAAACAATTACTTGAGAGTTTATTGTATTAATATTTTATTATCATCATTCAATTGAGTTTAATATTTTACGCATATCCAAGCCTCCAATAATCGGTTCGGTTTGGACAACTTGTGATCTAGGATACGACTTCCGCTTGCCATAATTTTTGCTTTATTTTTTAAAACATTTTTTTATTAAAATTTTCATTGGGAATCTATTCAAACCAACTAGATAAGTTTTCATCGTCTAACAAATGGCATCAAGAGCTCAATTCATTTTGTGTGCTTCAAAAATGCTTATTAGATAATGGCTATTGTGATACGGTGGCAGAACTGACTGTTTTTGTTACTACTGGTTTTGTGTTTTTTGTTTTCAAATGTATGGTAAGCAAGAGTCTCCACCGTATTTTATTTCATCCAACAAAGGAAAAGGCAAAAAGAACAGAAAAAACCTTTTTCGATATGTTTCTGAGTACGGGGGGTAAATTATAGAAAGGGAAGGTGTTAGCACCCTTTCTATCTGTGGTTTTCCACGGGCACTTAGGTACTTGCTCATTCTTAAATTGCTTTCGTGTGTTTGTATGTTTGAAAAAGTTTTGAAATTGCCTTAGTGCGGCGTTTCACTTTATGGTAACCCTTGTATCAGTCCTCAAGGGTGTGATAAAGTGTTTTTTGAAAACTTTAGTTGAAAATTTTGTTTGAAAGTGTATGGTGTAAAAGATTAGTTGTTTTGAGCAAGTACTTAATAGTTTCTACCTACTCGAAAAAGACTGTTCATTTTTCTTATTTCCTTTAGAAAACGCTATTCTACTATTAAGAAGTAGGTAGATCCATCGTTGGAGTTTAAGGACAATCGAAAGGGACGATTACGGTCATTAAAGAAATGGTTAGGAAACCTTAGAATTTACCCTAGAGTCCTAAATATCTTTCTGAGGAAACATTTGAATGGGTCATTTTTTATATTTTGGGACTAGAGGGCAACCACTAAAATTCTCTATACTTCATGACCTTTTACCGAAGGCAACCGAAGTGGGGAAAACCCTATGAATGAGAATGTGCAAGTGTTTGTTTTTTCAATTATTTATCTTTGCACAATTAGGGTTTTCTAATGTTTTAAACATTGATTTATCTTTCGCATATAATCCTATTATCAATCATCTAACAGTTTATAATGACGGAAAGTAAAAGTGTGAGAAGTTTAAACCTACTATTACAAGGTGTTGTACCCCAAAATTTGCCCTATCATATTTCTCAAGACATTGCAAGAAAAATCTCCAAGTGGCTCAAGGTTGCTCAAGAGTTGGACAGTCAAGCTATCTCCTATGGCAGTCAACCCCAAATTAGGGTTTTGTGTTGCATAAAGATCCTTAAGTCAAAATGACCTCAAGTTCTCAACAATGTTCTAATATGTTCTCAAGGTCATCCATGTCAAGTTTCAAGCCTTGCAGAGGAAGTTTGCTCAGTCAATTGCTCAAAGGGTCCAAAAATCGACTGTGCTAGGGCAAAAGTCAACTGTGACCTATAAACAGTCAAACATCAAGATTTTGGTCAACATTCTCATGTTGAAGGATATTTCATCATTTGATCAAGGGTTGATCATGATTCACCAAGGATTGCTCAAAATTCATCAAGACTCAAAAGTTGCTAAATTAGGGTTTTGTAGGAAAAGTCAACTCAACTTTGACCAAGCATAACTTTCTCATACTTTATGATAAATGACCCATCAAAAGCTCATTTTGAAGAGAATTCAATTTCCTACAATCCATCTGCATATCCCAAGATCAAAAAATGCACTCACAAGAAGTTATAAATTTGGACATTATAGGCCATTTTTGAAAGTCAACAAAAACACCTTTTTTTCCAAAGCTTATAACTTGATAATGGAATATCAAAATGAGATGAGACCAAAAAGGGTTCATTATAGGACATCTCAAGCTTTCTAAAAAGTCAAAGAACAATTCCAAAAGTTCAAAATTGAAGAAGTTATGCATTGTTGAAGTTGGACATTTTTGCAAAATTGCCAAAAGTTAACTATCCCCAAAACTTCAAATTTTGTCAAATGGGCCCATTCTTTTCCACTTGATTTGAGCTTGCATCAGTGTCCACGTGTCCTAACTTCAGCCTTGAGCCCATATTTTATTTTTACTATTTA